ATGAGCTACAGCTCGATAAACGGCACGTTTTAACAATTACAAGAATTTCCGATGAAAAATTCAAAACAAACAATAAATGTGCATCATCATAAAATGCAAACTTAGGGAAAAAATTTAGCTGTTTCAGAGCCATTAATTGCTAGCACTGAAAAATATTTAGCACTTATTTAAAAAATTATTCATGATATTATAATATTATAAATTACGGTAATAATGATGTACGTGAGACTCACAAGTTTAACAACTTCATTAGGTATTTATTATTATGTTAAGAACTTTTAACAACAACCATCATCTTTAATACCCACGTGTATAATGCACACAAAAAGTGCCATATTTCCGCACTGGCCCCAGAATTAGCATATTGATGGAAAACCATGCGCATATATGCGTACAAAACGCACGCACGCGACGGAGCGGCAGATGCGCTGCTTCCGTGCAGGGGGCGCCGCCCCCCCCACCGCCCCCCGACCTGTCTTGATAAGTGGCATGTGATCACGCCACATGCCCACGCATGGCGTGGCATGGCGCACGCCACACAACTTTTTTAGTTGACTTACTCAAGGTTTTCAACAATTAAATCGCCACGTAGGCACGTACACAATCAAAAGCCACCGGTAATAAAATATTTCGGTGATAACGTATCGGTAATCTTGCTATATTTTTTTCTTGCTTCGTTGTTAATTAAATTTCAACTTACCCCCAACGCTAATGAGGGGTACATAGCACCCCCTTAAAGGTGCCGGGTGCTATAATTTCTCAACAATTTAATACCCGAGGACTGCGCACGAAAATTGGTCGTTATACCAGACAATTGGAATAATTGGCACCTGGACCCATACTTTCAAAAAAAAGTTAAGAGATCGTAAGTTCATCAGCCAATCGTTGACGGCCTTTCAAGCAAAATCCACCAATCATAGACAAGAAAATAGAGCGTAAGTACTTCAAGCAAAATCCACCAATCATAGACAAGAAAATAGAGCGTAAGTACTTACGTTCACTTAATCATAGACAAGAAAATAGAGCGTAAGTACTTACGTTCACTTAGCGAATTTTGAAAGTATGGCCCCTATAGCTGCTGACCTAGCAACGTGCTGCGGGTGCGGCTAAAGAATAAAGAATTTTCTTGTTACAAGAACGTATATTTTTATATGAATTTATCAATACTTTACAGTATTTTCGGGTTAGCGAACAGCAGCTTATCGGAAATTCATCCATAAAATATTAATAATGCATAAATTTAAAATAAATTTGATAATTAATTAGTATTTTTGACTTCTTTGTGATGCAGTTGAGAGTGCGTTTTGTGTCATCAATCTTAATTAAAGTGAACGCCAACTCTGGCAGTGTACGTTAATTATCCGTTACTGTAACGCAACGCTGGCAGTGGACTGGTATAGAGGCGGGACGTAAACAGAGTTGCTGGTAGAGGCGGGACGTAAACAGAGCTGCTGGTAGAGGCGGGACGTAAACAGAGTTGCTGGTAGAGGCGGGACGTAAACAGAGTTGCTGGTAGAGGCGGTACGTAAACAGAGTTACTGGTAGAGGCGGGAGGTAAACCCCTTCTTCCTTGATTTAGCCCCAGTAGAAACTGTCACATTGGGTGAGATCAGGTGATCTCGGTGGCCAGAAGTGTAGAGCCAGATCTTCATTTCCTAGGCGTCCTACCCAACACTCAGAAAGTGACTGATTCCGCGTTTCCCTAACAAAATTTAAAGGCGTGCGCATCCCTGCATTAGGGCCGCCTGGGACTCGGACCGCACGTAAATCAGCTTCTCTTTATCAGCTTCGGCTCAGGGTTCGAAGGGCAGCCTCTGGGCAGCTTGCTAGCTCGCTATGACTCGGCTCGGTTAACCCGTGTCGTAATCTCAGGCGACTATAAAGTCGGATAGGAAATTCTGACCCGAAACTGATTTCGATCGGGTGGCCAAGCAGACCCAGAATAACTTTGCGCCGAGTGTAGTGACTATTCGGCCGAAGCCTAGACGGTCTCCGAATTTTCTTAGGTTTGAATCGGTTGAAAAAAATTGAATCTTTTTCTTTACATTGGTGTATAATTATTCATTTGGAATTTATACCTAAATACATATGAATTTTTTTAATTTGGTCCATCATTTAGAATAACCCGGTATTTATACTCAGTATGAGCCTGAACTGCGCTGATGAAGAACACTTCGCCAGAGCTTCATGCACGTAAAGCTCAGAGATGTAGGACTTCTCGCCTTCAAACTTGGTTTCCAAGCATGATTTTTTAAGACAAAAATTTTGTCAAAATCATTAATAGAATAATATTTGAATTAATTTTTAACCCCTTTCATTGATGTTGATGTGAATGAGTAGCATTCGAGCATCTTCAATTCTCTTGAATGCAGCTTTGATCGTAAAAGAAATATAGCGCAAGACTCTAACAACAACCCATGCCCATTTAAGTTGTAAAAGAAATCTACCCATTAAAAGTTGTTTTTAAAAGTTTTTATTTACATCGCTTGGTCCCGTAACTTGCACTACAGTCATTCAGGACCATCACAATGACCTGAGATCAAAAAAGTGACCACAGGATATCTCCTTCATGTCAAAATCCATCTAAAGAGTTTTGCAATTTTGTCTAAATTATCGGGCGCTGTTTAAGCCAAATTTGTCATCATTGCTAGAGAAATGAACTTTAACGATTTTTTGTAACTATTTAACGTTAGCCCTACCTTAACTTTATGTTTTACATTAACCTTAACTTTGTTATTAATAAAAATTTTAATTCAACGTGTGTTTGTTTTTTAATTTTGCACAATTTAACCTCTTAGTTAAAAAACTGGCACTTTTGAGCGTAGACAGTATAAGAAGCCTCAGAGTTTGGTGCAAATTTCAGAGTGCTACTGTGTCATTTCTTTCAAAAGTTACGAGGAAAAAATTACAAATATTTTTTTAGAGGCTGGCACTATATGGGGCAACATCTAGAAATCTGGTCTACATATAATCTTCCTGTCGCGTTATCTCAGCTATAACGACGCGTTATAGCACGTCATTTGACGAAGACTAGTAGATCTGCTAGTAAACACCTAGACCTAGACGAAGACCTAGATGATCTGCTAGTAAATATTAGTTTCCTGCTGGAATTCTTTCCGATTATATTGTGATCGATGAGTAGTGACTTCGATGATAGTCAAGTGATGTCCCCTCTACCTTCATCTACGGATATGCAACTTGAGAGTGAGCAATGTCGTGGATTGAGAAGCTGGGTATTGTCATGATTCACTAAAAATTCACAGGCTTTGCAAGCAATAATTTAAGCAGAATTGGCCGCACAAAAAAGTCATTTGCAGCTTAACAGATCCAGGTTTCAAGGCATCGGATTACAACTACTGGGTCCCCCATATTTAATACGGCAACGTTTGTTCTTTATTTTCAAGTGAAACAAACAGGGGAATTAATTTTTTATTGGAAGAGCTAATAGCAAAGAACTATACCTAAACAATTCTCAAACGTATTTAATCAATATGACCATCCTTATTTTTAATGACGGCGACGAATGAGACTCGACAGATGCCAGCAAATTCTGGATCTCATTGAGGATGGCAAGCAGCCCAATTTTGTGTTTAGTGACGTGAAGAAATTTGACATTAAACAGAGCGTTAAACGTCAAAATAACAGAGCTTGGAGTCGGGATGGATCTGTGGCAACCAGAACAATAACACGTCAAAATCCATGCCCGTGATGGTTTGGGCTGCGGTAACAGCCACTTAGAGGTCCCCACTCGTTTTTGTCCCCTCAGAAGTGTTTGTGTTGAAGTGTTAACCTTGGGCGGTTAACACTTCAACGGCTCAACATGGAGTTTTCAACAAGACTCTGCCCCTTCACATGGCTCAAACGTGACCCAAAACTGGATTCAGGGTCACGTCCCAGCGTTCATAAGCAAAAATGCATGGCCCTCAAGAAGCACTGATTTGAATCCTCTTGACTTTTCGGTGTAGGCTATTAATGAGAGTAGAGTCGACAGAACACTGCATGATTTTTTGGATAGTTTGGATCTAAATTGGCACGAAAATGGGACTTGATCCTTCAAGAAATGCTGTGAGTCTCCTGTGAAGTTTTCCAGTATAGGTTGGAGGTCCTCATTAAAATAAGGGTGGTCATATTGAATAAATACGTTTGAGAATTGTTTAGGCAATTCTTGGCTATTAGCTCATCCAATGAAAAATTAATTCACCTGTTTGTTTCAAGGAAAGATATGAAAACATGCGTTGATATAAACATGGCGGACCCTGTATTTCTACAGCATGATCACGCACGAAGATGATTGTCAAGGCATATCATTAAGCCCTGACCCGCGCTCGGCATTGTCGATAAATTCAAATACAATACCACACTCATAAGATAAAGAAGCTAACAGCAACGGTGGCAATGTGTGCCACACATGGCAACATTAATGTACTACACCAATGCAGACACTACACCCACAATGTAAAGAACTTATAGCGACGCCCAATGATCAAATGAACAGGTGAACAGGTTTGTCACCATACTAATAATAATAAAACTTGAGCTATAACACAAATAACATAGTAAAGGCCGGTGAAGTAAACATGGTTTGTACTCACAGGATTGTTGACGCACTAATAATAATAATTACAATAGTAATAAAAAATAATAAAACTTAAGCTATTTCAAACTATCGGCGTCATGAAAAGATCCGGTCAAATGACACGATTTTAGATCTTCTATGAACAAGTCACGAAAAGTAAAAGAATCGGCGACAGGCCACATCAGGCCTACACTTCAGCGCCGACATCACTATGTTATGTTATAGAATAGAATAGAATAGAATAGAATAGAATAGAATAGAATAGAATAGAATAGAATAGAATAGAATAGAATAGAATAGAATAGAATAGAATTGTCGGCACTGAAGAAATAGGCATATGGCCTGTTATGTTATGCACATATGTTATGTTATGTTATAACACAAATAACCTATATAAAAGACCGACGAACATAATCGTACTCACAGGATTGTTGACGCGCACGTTGTCGAGGCGGCAGGATACCCTGAGCTCCTGCGAGGCCGGGGTCCTGGCAGGTATCCACTGATAGTTGGCGATGTAGGCCATGGGACCGAGGTACTCTACGTCCCGACGCGCCATGTCGGGCGGCGCTAGTACAGGCTCTACGCCGAGCTTACGCCCCCCGTCTTGTGCTGTGGGGGGGGGATATTGTGGAGAGGGTGTGGGACCGGGGGGTGAGACTGGGGGGTGAGACTGGGGGTTGGGACTTGCGACTGGGGGGTGAAACTTGTGACAGGGGAGGGCATGGATATTGTGGAGAGGGGGTGACTGGGGGGTGAGGCTGGGGAGTGAGACTGGGGAGTGAGACTGGGGAACTGGGGAACTGGGGAAATGACTGGGGGGTGAGACTGGGGAATGAGACTGGGGGTGAGACATGCGCTAGTACAGGCTCTACGCCTAGCTTCCGGCCCCCGTCTTGTGCTGAGGGGGGGAGGGGATATGGTGGAGAGGGGATGGTGAATAAAGCGGGTAAGGCTTGTGACTGGGGAGTGAGACTTGTGACTGAGGTGGGTGTGACTTGTGACATGGTGAATAAGATAGGGTGAGCATTTTGTCAACTGTTGCAAAACTCTTCCCCTATGATTTTAGTTGCATTCGAAACGTCGTCAATTATAATAAAATGTCTCTTGGAAACCTCGTACTTGAATTTTAAATTCCTATCTAAAGCCTAATTCACCGCATAGAGAAAAACAATAAGAAAATTGTCACTAACAAATACTCTTCGGTCGTCAATGAAACTTATATTAAAGAACAACTTCTGCCAAACAACGTACATCAATATAGAGTAGGAATATGTTTACTGATATTTACGCCTTTAAACCCACGCCCAATTTTATGTGGAAATTCAAGTCCACATTATTCCTTCCCTTCCCCCAATTCCCCTAAATTGAAGACAAAGATCCTCAGAGGAGCGGCAACCTCAGAAGTTTCATCAACGAAAAGGACGCACGGCAGCGAAGATAGAGCGTCACTGCTCACTGCTTGCTACACGAAGCAGTGAAAATTGCTACACTTTACCGATGCTCAGCAGCAACTGTGAGACATATTAGGTCAAGATTTAAGTATATAAAGAACCTAAAACTGTCTGCAATTATTGCGTCTTGAAATTACAACAGCGGCAGGATTTTTCAATGTCTTAACGATGCTCCTTCTTTCCCTTTATTGGCAAATTCTATTAAGAACCTGAATGTAGTTTGGCTGACCTAAAGGTCTAAAATGACCGTCGTGCAGTGAACATTTCAGATGCCAGAGAAAAATATTCTGAAGATATAACTGACCCTTTTTATGCAAGATGAATTATTCAATTCGCACATCCTACGCATTAGAGACAGGAAACCGTAGGACAAGTAAGAAAGCCAGCCTACCCACCCAGCCTCACATCCGGGACTCCGAATCAAGTAAGATTTGTCACAATACGGCGACTGGTCACGAGAAAACGAACGAGTAGCTACGATAATACGATAAGACTCGATAAAACTCTGCGTATGAAGCCTATAGAAAAGCACTGTTCTCTAAGACCAGACGGGACTGTTCTACAGGGACCACACGGGACTGTTCTACAGGAACTACACGGGACTGTTCTACGGGAACCACACGGGACTGTTCTACGGGAACCACACGGGACTGTTCTACAGGAACCACGCGGGTCTGTTCGACAGCGACCACACGGGTCTGTTCGACAGGAACCACACGGGACTGTTCTACAGGGACCAAAGGGTCCAGAAACGGTGCCTCCATGATGGCCAAATAGCTTATTGGCCCCGGCTAACTGCTGATCATTCATCGGCCACCGTTCCTTGCTGTGAACCGTTGTCTCGACCGAGAACCGAACTAAGGTTCTGCAGCGCGTTGCTGTTACAGTATAACAACCTCATGACCTATCGCAGACTTACATACGTAACTTCATGGTAAACAGTTCAGATCATCAGAGTCCAAAAACTCAGCAGCAAGTAAGCTTTTCATCGGCGTAGAGCTGCCAACAGCTTATAACAGTTTTTTCAAAGATTGATGATTTTCTTAACAGGTTACAGGTTCGAGATCCAAGTGAGAAGAAATCTCACCAGTAAGCAGGTTATTTCTCTAGTCTGCAGACGTTCCTTCCAGTTTATAGTTTATGTTTCCAGTTTATGGGCCATGTGCCCAGTTTATGGACGTTCTCACCAGTTTATAGAACTTCTCACCAGTTCACAGACGTTCTCACCAGTTTGTATATTGTTCTCCCAGTTCGCAGGGTCGCGGCTCCAGGTCTTGTACCCCGGCACGGGCCCGCCGAGCTTCTTGACGAGCGTCGCCAGCGCGTGGCCGTCGTTCCAGTCAGTCTGCCCACGACATCAATAATTAAGTTATTACTTAATAAATTATTAAATCAACCCTCAATTTTTTTATATTTACTACTAAAATCCTAATTAACCAACTCGTAAGCAGAGAGAGTCGTCATAATAAACAGAGAGATTTGCAAAAGTAATTACTGTTCCGATTGACCTCGTTTGCAAAGCTAAAATAAGCTCTTCAGCAACGATTTAAAATATTATAGAACTGAATAACACGTATTATGAGTCATAAACACTCCTCCATTATAGGAATAAATATCACGTATTATACGTTATAAAGGCTTTTCCATTATAGGAATAAATAACAGGTATTATTCTTTATAAACACAACTCTATTATAAAAATGAATTACACGTATTATACGTTATAAAAACGCCTCAATTATAGAAATAAATAGCACGTGTTATACGTTATAAACACTCCGCCATTATAGGAATAAATATCGCGTATTATGAGTTATAAACACTCCTCCATTATAGGAATAAATATCACGTATTATACGTTATAAGCACTCGTCCATTATAGAAATAAATAACACGTACTATACGTTATAAGCACTCCGCCATTATTGAAATGAATTACACGTATTATGAGTTATAAACACTCCTCCAATATAGGAATAAATAGCACGTATTATACGTTATAAACACGCCTCAATTATAGAACTAAATAACACGTATTATACATTATAAACACCCCTCCATTATAGAACTAAATAACACGTATTATACATTATAAACACCCCTCCATTATAGGAATAAATAGCACGTATTATACGTTATAAACACGCCTCAATTATAGAACTAAATAACACGTATTATACATTATAAACACCCCTCCATTATAGAACTAAATAACACGTATTATACATTATAAACACCCCTCCATTATAGAAATAAATAACACGTATTATCCTTCATAAACACTCTGCTATTCTCTCATGATTTCGGTGGTGAAAATCTGATGTTGCGTTTGAAAAAAAACGCCACATGCGTAGAACAAAATTATAAGTTTTTGAAGGCAGCATTAAACTTTAAGCTGGACTGAGGTTCTGAAATCGCTTCTCTGAATGAACGAGGATGGATAGACAATAGAAAAACTGTAACGCGATTAAACTGAAACTGTAACGCGATTAAACTGAAACTGTAACGCGATTAAACTGAAACTGTAACGCGATTAAACTGAAAATTGGGACCGTGTTTTTGTACCGAAAATTAAGAATAGTGTCTCAGACTGCGTGTGTGTAAAATGTATTTAATTTCATTCTAGGTGGATAGAAACTTAGGAAATTAATATGCCAAGAAGTGACAAAATTATATTCCAAAAATTTATAAAAATCTTCATTGAAATTTCTCACATTATGGATTAGTAATATTTCTTTTTAAGTCTCGTTAAATTATATTAAATTCGAAAAAACTGTAAAACCCAAGTTTTGTCGAGCACGTCTTGTCTCGGTAACGCTCTGGACTTCAAATAAGTCGAAAATTCTATTGATTTTGATCGCTATTAGGGACCATACTTTTAGCATCGTCTCGTTTCTAACAAAAAACTACGAGATGTGAATAAAAAAGTACGAAATGTAAATGAAAACGTACGAAATGTGAATAAAAAACTACGAAACATAGATGTTAACTGAAAAAATCCCACGTACCGTAAAGTTTTTAATGTTGCACTCCGGTATGGCACCCCTAACCCAGTCGAGGGTAGCCTTGTACCCCGGGCCTCCCTCCTTCATGAAGTAGCTGAGGTATGTCATCCCGCTGAGGTCATCCAGGTATGGGGATGACAGGTATTCCGGCTCCAGGATCATGGGGATGTTGAACTCCCGCTTGGCAATCTCCATGGCGCGGCGACAGTTCTCCGTGCTGAAAAACATGGAGTTAGTGGAGCACAGCAGTTGTCGTGCTGCAAAACATGGAGTTAGTGGAGCACAGCAGTTGTCGGGGCTGCAAAACAAGGAGTTAGTGGAGCACAGCAGTTGTCGGGGCTGCAAAACATGGAGTTAGTGAAGCACAGCAGTTGTCGGGGCTGCAAAACATGGAGTTAGTGGAGCACAGCAGTTGTCGGGGCTGCAAAACATGGAGTTAGTGGAGCACAGCAGTTGTCGGGGCTGCAAAACATGGAGTTAGTGGAGCGGTGGAGGAACTGGAGGTGGTGACATTATTAGTGACGTGAAACGGTCTATTATAACAAAATTTCGTTATGGTTAATAACATTATTATCATAAGGCTTGTTTTCTGATTCTGGTCATTTTTCTTGTCAGAAATATTAAAAAATAAGAAAGTAAAGAAGATATGTCGTGCTTCTGAAATCGTTTAATCCGTAAGTTATGTATATTGAAGTTATACTAATATACTAATTGAACTATTTTTGAGGTCTAGGTAGGGCGAATAATTCACATATTAGACCTAGTTTAGGTGGCTGATTGATCTGTTAATAGAGGTGCAGGTAATGTAAACAGTATAACTGTGGGTTAACTCTTGCTAAGGTTACTAAACTTGGGTCTAGGATTGGTAAAATGATCGGTACTTTAGGTCTAGGCATGGTAAAATGATCGGTACTTTAGGTCTAGGCATGGTAAAATGATCGGTACTTTAGGTCTAGGCATGGTAAAATGATCGGTACTTTAGGACTAGGTATGGTAAAATGATCGGTAGTTTAGGTCTGGGTATTGTAAATAATTCACCTATAGGATCAGATTAAGTTTTATCTGCTTTTTGATGCCAAGATCACGAGAATGTTGAACTCTTAGCAACCAAAACCAATTGATTTTCTACTGAGGTCTACGAAAGGTAGCTAATTGACAATTTAGTTGGATCTAAGTTAATTAACAAGCTTCCTTAGATGTCCCTGGGGTCCCGCCACCTCACCAGTCCCTGGGGTCCCGCCACCTCACCGGTCCCTGGGGTCCAGGTCCCGCTACCTCACCTGTCCCTGGGGTCCAGGTCCCACCACCTCACATGTCCGTGGGGTCCAGGTCCCGCCACCTCACCTGTCCCTGGGGTCCCGCCACCTCACCTGTCCCTGGGGTCCAGGTCCCGCCACCTCACCTGTCCTTGGGGTCCCGCCACCTCACCTGTCCCTGGGGTCCAGGTCCCACCACCTCACCTGTCCCTGGGGTCCAGCCACCTCACCTGTCCCTGGGGTCCAGGTCCCGCCACCTCACCTGTCCCTGGGGTCCCGCCACCTCACCTGTCCCTGGGGTCCAGGTCCCGCCAGTCCCGCAGCAGGCCCGGTCTGCAGTAGTCTATGAGGGCGCCCAGGTTGACGCCGCTGTTCCAGTCGCTCGTGAAGTTCGTCACTTTGCACTCCGGCAGCACCGCCTGCCCGCACACACTTCTCGTCAGAATAAATATCAACACTGCTTCGTAATTATTATATATTATGAATTATTCATATAATATAAAATGTATTATAGGTACATTATCAATGCTTCGTCAGGAAACATGTCAACACTGCTTCATAATTATTATATGTTATGAATTATTCATATAATGAAAAATTTATGATATATTATCAATGGTTAATGAAGGTTGAAACTTTACTACCTGATCACTTCTAATTCAAGAGGGAACCATTATTGCGAACCTTGACTTACAAACAAGTGAAGTCGTACTATCAAAAATAGCTCCGAGTTCGTAACACCGTCAGCCAATCACTGGCAGCATTTAAAGCTAAACCCACGAATCATAGACGGAAAATCGGTCGCTACGTGTACTAAGGATGCTGCGTATACATAGGCCAAAAATACGCGTACTTAGGCTGCTAATTGTATTTAAGCGAGTTTAGTACAGCACCTGGCAGATAGGCATATATAATTCACGCTTTGGCCTAATTTAAGATAAAAATTCTGAATTTTGGCAAATTCAATTTTAATTTGAACAATTAAATTCAAATTTAAATTTTTGTATCCTTGAAAGAATAGCACAGGCAGTAACCTTAAGCCAGGCCTGCGTGAGATACGGTCGCCTTAAGCCAGGACTGCGTGAGATACGGTCGCCTTAAGCCAGGACTGCGTGAGATACGGTCGCCTTAAGCCAGGACTGCGTGAGATACTGTCACTTTAAGCCATGATTGCGTCAGATATGGTCACCTTAAGCCTTGACTGCGTGAGATACGGTCACCTTAAGCCAGGACTGCGTGATATACGGTCACCTTAAGCCAGGACTGCGTGAGATACGGTCACCTTAAGCCAGGACTGCGTGAGATACGGTCACCTTAAGCCAGGTCTGCGTGAGATACGGTCACCTTAAGCCAGGACTAATTAGATACGGTCACCTTAAGCCAGGACTGCATAAGTTTCTTGGGAGGGAACTTGCTCTGGCCGATCTGGTAGTGGGCGATGAGGGACCACACCAGCCCCAGGATGAGCTTCAGGTTCCCATTCACGATGTCAACGTTGCCTGCTCATCAAAATAATATATTAATTTTACCTTAAAAGGAAATTATAAACTAGGTCAAGAGCATAAAGACTGTCGAAAAATGTAAAATTGTATTTTTATACAGGATATCGCACTAGACATTTAGCAGGTCATAACAAACTTGAATTTCACACTTAACAAGGCTCCGTACCAAAATGTATCCTTGACATATTCGTACAAATTATTTCCTGACACTTGAGTAGTCTTCATTCCCAATTACACATTGACACCCAATTACACATCTGTGTATAATTAGACGTTCAATGTCTAGGTAGAAGTGCTACACTTGACACATCCCTGCAGAAGAAAGTTGTCCCCACCAAGTCAGGTGAAAATTGTTCTCTTGACGTCATTAATTATGGTACAAAACTTATGGCTTGTTACGTTGCATTGCATCAACTGAGTCATGATTTAAGTATTAATGTAGCAGAATTACGAGTCTTATCGTTATTAATGCATTTGATTAAACTGGTCAGACGAGTGAGTGAAAAGGATTGCCGGGTTTATGATTCCACTACAGATTCACGTGATAGAATATAAATAAATATAATATAAATAAAAGGACAGCAGAAAAAGATCTTTACAGAATAAATAATGGATGCAGTCATGACTGCTGAGAGAAGTGAAAAAACGTCCGTCAAGAACAGGTTACTGAGGTTAGAATAATGCAATTTACAACTCATTTAGGTACGATTTGCTCGACTTGAAAATAAATGTGAAGAAATACTAAGATTTTCGCAATGAATCCATTTTATAGTTTGAAGCGGTACAATTAATTCTTTTATATAGAATAATATGACACAACTACTTGAATTTCGAAGTTAATACGTGATACGAAATACTATAGGAAGTGGCATAAGAAATAATAATCAGAAGTTAACGGTTGAGGTTAGTTTTGAAAATAATTTTAAACGAAATCTGCCACAAATTAAATACTTTAAAGGCTAGGTACTGAGACATATAAGTGTGAAATTTCATAAGCAATGTAGAGCGAACAAGACATTTTAGAGGTCATATTGTCGATTAAATACAATTATTTCGAAACTATTGCAGTGCATATATAATAGTTTGTATAAAATGAAGCACATGTACGACAGAAGCAATTGTAGAACTAAAGAGACTGAGGTAATGGCGATTACCCTTGATAATGTGACACAGATTATTGGGGATTACCCTTGATAATGTGACACAGATTATTGGGGATTACCCTTGATAATGTGACACAGATTATTGGGGATTACCCTTGATAATGTGACACAGATTATTGGGGATTACCCTTGATAATGTGACACAGATTATTGGGGATTACCCTTGATAATGTGACACAGATTATTGGGGATTACCCTTGATAATGTGACACAGATTATTGGGGATTACCCTTGATAATGTGACACAGATTATTGGGGATTACCCTTGATAATGTGACACAGATTATTGGGGATTACCCTTGATAATGTGACACAGATTATTGGGGATTACCCTTGATAATGTGACACAGATTATTGGGGATTACCCTTGATAATGTGACACAGATTATTGGGGATTACCCTTGATAATGTGACACAGATTATTGGGGATTACCCTTGATAATGTGACACAGATTATTGGGGATTACCCTTGATAATGTGACACAGATTATTGGGGATTACCCTTGATAATGTGACACAGATTATTGGGGATTACCCTTGATAATGTGACACAGATTATTGGGGATTACCCTTGATAATGTGACACAGATTATTGGGGATTACCCTTNTGTACAGCTGGTGCATGTACAGCTGGTGCATGTACAGCTGTGATACGAAGTACCAAGATTATCCATAAGAATTTATAAATTGATCGCCGGAGATAAAGCATATCTATTTAATTAAGGAAAACATTCTTCTTAACATTTGAAGGCAAAGGCAGATCCTGCCACGAAATAATACCTATCAAAGTGTGCGTTACAGTTGCGTATAATAGGCAGCGCTGGCCGACGATAACGCGCCTGTAATTGGTAGCGGGACAAACGTGCGGGCGCTTTAACAAAGCAGCGTAATTATGCGTAAATGTTACGCCATTATTAAAATTAGTGCACGTAACGCATGCAGAGCCGGATGCGTAAATGCTAAACCATTATTATAATGAGTGCACGTACGCATGCAGAGCCGGACCCTGGGCACCGGAACACTGCGACGCCATTAACAGGTGTGAGGCGTATCTGTGATACGCAATTACTGGTGTGAGGCGTATCTGTGATACGCAGTTATTGGTGTGAGGCGTGTCTGTGATACGCAGTTATTGGTGTGAGGCGTATCTGTGATACGCAATTACTGGTGTGAGACGTATCTGTGATACGCAGTTATTGGTGTGAGGCGTATCTGTGATACGCAGTTATAGGTGTGAGGCGCATCTGTGATACGCAGTTATTGGTGTGAGGCGTGTCTGTGATACGCAGTTATTGGTGTGAGGCGTATCTGTGATACGCAGTTATTGGTGTGAGGCGTATCTGTGNCAGACAGACAGACAGACAGACAGACAGACAGACAGACAGACAGACAGACAGACAGACAGACAGACAGACAGACAGACAGACAGACAGACAGACAGACAGACAGACAGACAGACAGACAGACAGACAGACAGACAGACAGACAGACAGACAGACAGACAGACAGACAGACAGACAGACAGACAGACAGACAGACAGACAGACAGACAGACAGACAGACAGACAGACAGACAGACAGACAGACAGACAGACAGACAGACAGACAGACAGACAGACAGACAGACAGACAGACAGACAGACAGACAGACAGACAGACAGACAGACAGACAGACAGACAGACAGACAGACAGACAGACAGACAGACAGACAGACAGACAGACAGACAGACAGACAGACAGACAGACAGACAGACAGACAGACAGACAGACAGACAGACAGACAGACAGACAGACAGACAGACAGACAGACAGACAGACAGACAGACAGACAGACAGACAGACAGACAGACAGACAGACAGACAGACAGACAGACAGACAGACAGACAGACAGACAGACAGACAGACAGACAGACAGACAGACAGACAGACAGACAGACAGACAGACAGACAGACAGACAGACAGACAGACAGACAGACAGACAGACAGACAGACAGACAGACAGACAGACAGACAGACAGACAGACAGACAGACAGACAGACAGACAGACAGACAGACAGACAGACAGACAGACAGACAGACAGACAGACAGACAGACAGACAGACAGACAGACAGACAGACAGACAGACAGACAGACAGACAGACAGACAGACAGACAGACAGACAGACAGACAGACAGACAGACAGACAGACAGACAGACAGACAGACAGACAGACAGACAGACAGACAGACAGACAGACAGACAGACAGACAGACAGACAGACAGACAGACAGACAGACAGACAGACAGACAGACAGACAGACAGACAGACAGACAGACAGACAGACAGACAGACAGACGGACAGACAGACGGACGGACATGACGAGCACAATAGGGCATTTTTCCATAAATGATAAAATGCGCTAAAAAGGCAGGAACGTTGGAGTACAGCGCTGGTGTTCAGGAGAATTAGTGACATCATTGATGACATCATTTGCGGAAAACGGATGAAAAAATTTCCACTCCTATGTAAGTCAAAATTGCCACTCCTATGTACGTAAGTCAAAATTGCCACTCCTATGTAAGTCAAAATTGCCACTCCTTTGTACGTATGGGAGCCATTTTAAAGCTTCATACGCCACTACTCATGAATAAGATGCGTCACAATATACAGCAACATACGCCATTACTCATGAATAAGATGCGTCACAATATACAGCATCATGTGCCATTACTCATGAATAAGATGCGTCACAATACACAGCAACATACACCATTACTCATGAATAAGATGCGTCACAATAACAATAAGGATAACAATTAGCATCAAAATTTCGGTTCGTAATTAATGGGACGATTTTATAGGATTTCCTGCCATTAGCCGCTTATAATATTTACTGAAGTTCGTCTTTGGACGCTTTATCTTCGGCCACCCAAACTCCGACCATCATTTACCCAGCTCATTTATTTCCTATTTCATCCGTGCGACTAAAAGAGCTCCTTGTAAACTTATACGTGGACCGCATGGCCACCTATACCGCGGCCATGCCGCCAAATGTAATTGTTAATGTAATGAATGTAATTGTAGTCAATGTGATGAATGTAGACATTGTCGTCTACATTCATCACATTAACATCGCGATGAATATTTAACATTTACACGTCTAAATATTCAACGATTATTAGAGGATAAATCAACACAATTATTGTGTCTGACTGATGAATTTGATTCGTGTTTTGTGAAGACTTTGTAACTAATGGCTGACTAATATAATGGGATGTCAGCCAAACCAACCCATTATATTAGTATAATTATATACTAATCAGCCAAACGGCATGTCACTAATATAATGGGAAAAAATATAACTCAGTATTGCATCTTACAAAAATAATGGGAAAAATATAACTCAGTATTGCATCTTACAAAAATAATGGGAAAAATATAACTCAGTATTGCATCTTACAAAAATAATAGAAAAAATATAACTCAGTACTCACTGCAGTGAGTGAAAGAGAGCGCATTTTCTCGTCGACGAAAACGTGAAGTCACGGACAGACGGACGGACAGGCAGACGGACAGACAGACAGACAGACAGACAGACAGACAGACAGACAGACAGACAGACAGACAGACAGACAGACAGACAGACAGACAGACAGACAGACAGACAGACAGACAGACAGACAGACAGACAGACAGACAGACAGACAGACANTATGACACGGAGAACCATCTGTATGACACGGAGAACCATCTATATGACACGGAGAACCATCTGTATGACACGGAGAACCATCTGTATGACACGGAGAACCATCTGTATGACACGGAGAACCATCTGTATGACAC